ACATCCATCCTTCCCTGGCCTGAGGCTCAGACTCCTGTTGGCCCAGCTTCTGGGCCTGTAAGGTAAGCCCCCTGCCTCTGACCTCGTCACTGGTGATTTTTACAGGTATGCTCACCAGTTCTCTGCAGAGGCAACTTTTCCTTTTGTTACTTCTACCTAATATTAAAATTTTACACATACCTTCAGAAGTACAGAATGTAGAAAAGAGCCATTTTCTTAGCATCACTTGGTCACAGAGATTGGAAATGGTCCTTCTAAAGGGGTTAAAGAGTTAAGTAAAAGAATGTTGATGCCAGTGTGAATTGTAACCCATTCCAAGGCTGAAGCCTTCTTAGTTCTTGTAGGTTCTCCCCAGTTCTGCACCCAGTCCCAGCTGCCCCCTCCCACTGCCTCTTGTATTAAGGACCTCTGACGTGTCACGGGGTGTGGAACAAGGCAGCAGAGAGCACTGGCCCAGGAGTCTGAGGACCTGTGTTGTCTGGGCCCGTCATTGTCTCTCGCAGCTCAGGGGCCCTGTGTGCAGAGTGAAGGGGTGGGCCTTTCGGCTCTCAGGCCTCCCTGACTCCATGATCTGGGTGGCTGATGGTGCTGATGTGTCCTGCCTGCTCCTGCCCCAGAGGCTGCCAGCAGGAGGGCCCTCTCCAGAGGAGTGCCAGGCCCTGCTCACAGGTACAGCCTGGGTGCTGACCCCAGGCAGGTGGTGCTGGCCCAGTGAGTCACCTAATGACACAGCAGTCACCTGACTGTCTCCCTCATCCTCCCCGCCCTCCTGCCTGGCCAGGGAATTGCTCCAAGCCCCAGCCTCTGGGCGCTTCCCCACCCACCTTTGTGGCTCAGTGAAGAGAGAAGCACAATGTAGGGTCCTCCTTGGCCAACTGTCACTCAGACTGATCAATCCCCACTCAGTCTTTCATCCATCGGGAGAAGCAAAGCTCACCACTAGCTAGTATTTTGGGGGTACATTGAGACCCTTGCCTGAAGGGGTCAGTAGACATAGTAAGTAGAGCCAATGCTTTACTATCCACCCACAGCACCCGGGGGCCTCCTCCCCTCGCACAGGTACAGCCAAGCCTAGGAGTCACAGGCCAGCCAGAGCACAGTTCTCTGTCTACACTGCAGGTGCCGGCTGCCTCATCTGACTTTTCCATGACTCGGCGCCTCTGCCCACATTAGCTTGGATAAGCAAGGCCTGGGGAAATGCCACCAGGATGGACTCCCCAACCTCAGTCTTCTCCCCATTTCTCCCATCCAGCAGCCACAGCCAGGTTAGGACATAAGTTGAAAGGCCCCCTTGACTGTTAAGCCTCTAGTCACCGTGGTCACTCCTCACCAGGGATACAGCCACCTCCTGTGGGTCCAAGCCGGTGCCTTCACAGAACAGGGAGCCATAGACTATGGTGCCCAATGTGCCACAGAACCGTAGGCTGTGATGCCCAGTTATTCACAGAGATGGGGATGAACTCTGGCCAGCGAGCAGGTGGCACAGGGTGGTCTGCCTTGGCCACCATCACTCTGCAGTCTTTAGGGAATATCACCTTATTTCTCTAGGCCTCAGTCTCCTCATTTGTCAAGTAAGGGGATGGGACTAGATGCCCAGTCTTTAAGGATCCATAGGAGACTATGGTGTCAGTTTGGTCCTCATAGCAGAAATCAAAGTTTATGCCAGACTCCCAGATATGGCGCTTGTGCCTGGTTTGGATCACAAGGTAAATATTGATTGTAAGAGTAACCATTCATTCTGGTTTGCCTGAGATGACGTGGTTTATTCATGTTGCTCCTCCAGAATGGTTAGTTGTACCCCTTTCACACTCCAAAGTGCCCTAGTTTGGATGACATCTTACATGGCCACCCTATTTACAGTAATATGATGAAATGAAGTTTCCCTGCCTTTCCCAATTTCATCCTCCTTTGGGAGGATGCTCTCTACCTAGGTCAGAGGAGGCCTTTGACCACTCAAAGAATAGCCTGTGCTGAGTTGTGACCTTCCATTAAAGAAACTCAATCACTGCATTTGCTCAGTTCAGTTCAGTTGCTCAGTCGTGTCTGACTCTTTGCGACCCTATGGACTACAGCACGCCAGGCTTCCCTGTCCATCACCAACTCCTGGAGCTTACTCAAACTCATGTCCATCAAGTCAGTGACCCATCCAACCATCTCATTCTCTGTTGTCCCCTTCTCCTCTTGCCTTTAATCTTTCCCAGCATCAAGGGCTTTTCCAGTGAGTTAGTTTTTCACATCAGGTGACCAAAGTATTGGAGTTTCAGCGTCAGTGTCAGTACTTCCAATGAATATTCAGGACTGATTTCCTTTAAAATTGACTGGTCTGCTCTCCTTGCAGTCCAAGGGACTCTCAAGAGTCTTCTCCAACACCACAGTTAGAGAAAAAAAGCATCAATTCTTCGGCACTCAGCTTTCTTTATAGTCCAACTCTCACATCCATGCATGAATACTGGAAAAACCATAGCTTTGATTAGATGGACCTTTGTTGACAAAGTAATGTCTCTGCTTTTCAATATGCTGTCTAGGTTGGTCATAGCATTTGCTAGAGGGATGTTATTGGAAGACATAGGTGATCTCATGCATCATTCGCTGCCCCTGTCTGAAGTACCACATGAAAAAGTTCTTTTCAAGTAATGCTTTGCCTCCTGTAAGGAACTTACATACTTTCTTCTTCTCTGGTTATAATGACTCTACAATGGACTATATCTCCCTTTTCTCCTTGGCTGCCCAGAGTCTCAGATATCAGTGTATAGCTGAACTGTGGAAGCACTGTAAGCCCTCGTGATTGTTGTATCAGTGCTCTTTCCATCTCACCAGTCCTGACCTCCTGCCTTATCTACACTTTCCTTTGTTCTGATTTGTCATTCTTATTTACAGATTTTTTAATCTGGATTTATTGCTTGTCATTCTTTTAAAAATATTTATAAAATTTTATTATAGTGATATTGAAGTTTTTATAGAACCAAGATGAAAATGAAACAAAAAAGGAATAAATTTATAGAATATACTTTTTAGCTAGTTGTTGAACTCCCTGCCCTTCCATGGCATGTCAATATGTCTGAGGTCCTGCCATTTGAGCAACCATTATTTGAGTCTTTCAGAGTATTCTATGAAAGTAGAAAGTGGGAACTTTTTAAGACTGCATCAGCAAACACCCAATGAAAATTAAGGTGAGGTCATGAAGGGTGCCTGCGATCAGTATGCCAGGGGCAGAGCACGCCTACAGGAGAGGGAAGAAGGCTATAGAGACACTGGTCACTCTCTCAGACCCTCACCCAGGGTGTGGACACCTGCGAGGTGGCTGGGGAATAAAATCTGGCAGTAGGGAGCCTGGATTCAAGTGCAGGCCCTATCTCTTAAGCACATAGGACCGTAACAGGCCACCCTCCCCCTGCAGTCCTTAGTTTCATCCACTGGAAAGTAAGATGGCTGGCGGGACAAAGTTCACAGTGACGTCCAGCTTTGAAGTTCTGTCTGTGCTCTTGGGGAAGAGGGCCCTGCAATGCCCTCAGAGCCCAGGAAGCCTTGGCTGCCCAACTTTCAGCTGACCCTGGCAGGGCAGACATACTTGGGGCTCCACTCTGACCAGCTTTGCCCCTCAGTTTGACAAGGACCTCTATTCTGAGCCCCTTCTAGGGTATCCCTGGGCCACTGACTGGACAAAAAAAAGGCTGGAAAGTGGAGGAAGCTTCCAGAATGACCTTCCAGGTATTGCTTAGTGGCTTTGGTGGTCACCCTGTGTTAGACTGTGAACCACCGCAGGGATGGTGGTTTTAGCTTTTTCATTAAACACCAGGCTTGGGAGGTAGGTTAGCAGCAGTTTGCAAAGCCATAAGCCTGGATACCTTCAGAATTCAGGGCCAGAGAGAGAGAGAAATACTAGCCTGAGAACAGTCCCTCTCATAGAAAGCTCATCTCCAGATAACCGACCAGCTCCAACTCTTGCACTGGCCATGGGACCAGCTGGCATTTATCCAGTGGCATCCATGTCCATTTTCATGTTGGATGCACTGCAGCTAGAGATGGAGTTGAGCCATGAATTGCTATTATTTCATAGATATTATTTCATTTGATAGGTGACACAACTGAGGCTTAGGGAGCTGAAACCCATTCAGAGTTGCTCTCTGAGCAGAGACTGGAATCCAAGCCTGTCATCCCTACGTGCCCCCATGGTTCCCAGAGTCTATTCTGCTCCTGATGCCCTACAGAGCCACAGTCTTCAGAACCACAGTGGACATTCAGAATCACCAGCACCTCTGGAAATGTGGGCAGAGGAGGTGCCAAGAGTGCTCTGGTGCACAGGGTCCGGGGCTGTGGGTTTGGGTTGCGTCTCCCTGGTTAACCTTTAGGTATCACACCAGGTCTCATCGGAGCTGCATGAGCTGTGGATGAGTTGCAGTAACCCTCTCTTCTCTTCTCTTTGTGTGTGTATTTCTGTGTGTGTGCTTTGGTCAAGTAGAAGAGCGTGAATTCCTCTCCGTGACCATTCATCTCCAACACCAGACGAGAGGGCAGAAGAGTTGGAACGGAGCTGCCCACGGCATCCAGCGTGGCTTCTCTCGTGCCAGGACCAGGGATGCCTGGACCATGCTCACGGCCATCTCTAGCCATCCACAGATCGCATAGCACACGGGGGACTTGTGGGGGGCCACTTGCCACTGCCAACTGAAACAATATGATGGCGACTCTGACATCCTTCATGACGTTTCCACAACAGACATTCAGGCAGAAAGTGCTGGTGCATTTTCTGTCTGTGAAGTAGAGGGCCATGCCTCACCAATGTGAATAGCCTGGGCCCTGATGACCTGACCTGAGTCCACTTGTAGCCAGTGACACTTGGAAAAAAAATTTTAAAAACTCCCTAAACCACCTTGGGTTTGACTTCCGTAGCTCTTGACCAATGTTACCCAAGCCAGACGCCTCCTTGGGACGTTTGGATTATTCATAAATGTGGCCTGCTCTGACCCTCCCTGAATAGCATCTGAAGTCCTGTGGAGGTCATGGATCCTGAACAAAGTGTCAAGGGCACCAAGAAGGCTGAGGGAAGTCCCCGGAAGCGGCTGACCAAAGGAGAGGCCATTCAGACCAGTGTCTCATCCAGCGCCCCGTACCCTGGCAGCAGCACGGCCGCCACTCAAGAGGGCCCCCTCCAAGAGCTACTAGCCCCGCAGCCCTTCCCAGGCCCCTCGTCGGTTCTTAGGGAAGGCTCTCAGGAGAAGACAGGCCAGCCGCAGAAACCCCCCAAGAGGTCCTCCATCGAAGCCTCGGTCCACATCTCCCAGCTTCCGCAGCACCCTCTGACACCAGCATTCATGTCGCCCGGCAAACCCGAGCATCTCCTGGAGGGGTCCGCATGGCAGCTGGTCGACCCCATGAGACCTGGACCCTCAGGCTCTTTTGTGACCCCTGGGCTCCATCCTCAAAGCCAGCTCCTCCCTTCGCATGCTTCCATCATTCCTCCCGAGGACCTGCCTGGCGTCCCCAAAGTCTTTGTGCCCCGCCCCTCCCAGGTCTCCTTGAAGCCCACGGAAGAGGCGCACAAGAAGGAGAGGAAACCACAGAAGCCCGGCAAGTACATATGCCAGTACTGCAGCCGGCCCTGTGCCAAGCCCAGCGTGCTCCAGAAACACATCCGCTCACACACAGGCGAGAGGCCCTACCCCTGCGGCCCCTGTGGCTTCTCCTTCAAGACCAAGAGTAACCTCTACAAGCACAGGAAGTCCCACGCCCACCGCATCAAAGCCGGCCTGGCCTCGGGAATGGGTGGCGAGATGTATCCCCCAGGGCTGGAGATGGAGAGGATCCCTGGGGAAGAGTTTGAGGAGCCCACCGAGGGAGAAAGCACCGACTCGGAAGAGGAGACGGGCACCACGTCCACACACCCCACAGAGCTCTCCCCGAGGCCCAAGCACCCACTCCTGTCCAGCAGTTTGTACAGCTCCGGGAGCCAGGGCTCCAGCCACGAACGCTGTTCCTTGTCCCAGTCCAGCTCGGCCCCATCGCTCGAGGACCCCGCTCCGTTTGCGGAACCCTCATCTGAACACCCCCTGAGCCATAAACCTGAAGACACCCACACGATAAAGCAGAAGCTGGCCCTTCGCTTGAGTGAGAGGAAGAAGGTGATCGACGAGCAGGCGTTCCTGAGCCCGGGCAGCAAAGGCAGCACCGAATCTGGGTATTTCTCACGCTCTGAGAGTGCTGAACAGCAGGTCAGCCCCCCAAACACCAATGCCAGGTCCTACGCCGAGATCATCTTTGGCAAGTGCGGGAGGATCGGGCAGCGGACTGCCATGCTGACGGCCACCTCCACCCAGCCCCTCCTGCCCCTGTCCACCGAAGACAAGCCCAGCCTGGTGCCTCTGTCCGTGCCCCGGACGCAGGTGATTGAGCATATCACCAAGCTCATCACCATCAATGAGGCCGTGGTGGACACCAGCGAGATAGACAGTGTGAAGCCCAGGAGGAGTTCGCTGTCGCGGCGGAGCAGCATGGAGTCACCCAAATCCAGCCTCTACCGGGAGCCACTGTCCTCCCACAGCGAGAAAGCGAAGCCCGAACAATCACTGCTGAGCCTCCAGCGCCCACCCAGCACCACCCCCCCTGTGCCTCTGCTGAGAAGCCACTCAATGCCTTCTGCCACCTGCACCCTCAGTACCCCCCACCACACCTTCCGAGGCAGCTACTCCTTCGACGACCACGTCGCCGACTCGGAAGCCCTGAGCCGCAGCAGTCAACTGTTTACCTCCCACCCCCGGATGCTCAAGCGCCAGCCGGCCATCGAACTACCTTTGGGCGGAGAGTACAGTTCTGAGGAGGCAGGGCCCAGCAGCAAAGACACAGCCTCCAAACCTGTAGATGAACCGGAACCCAGGGAAAGTGACCTCACCAAAAAGACCAAGAAGGGTTTGAAAACGAAAGGGGTGATCTATGAATGTAACATATGTGGTGCTCGGTACAAGAAAAGGGACAACTATGAGGCCCATAAAAAGTACTACTGCTCAGAGCTTCAGATGGCAAAGCCAGTCACCGTGGGTGCTCATGTGTCTCCGGAGGCCGAAAAGAGCCAGGCCGAGCATGAGCCCTGGTCCCAGATGATGCATTACAAACTGGGGACCACCTTGGAACTCACTCCACTGAGGAAAAGGAGGAAAGAGAAGAGCCTTGGGGATGAGGAGGAGCCGCCCGGCTTCGAGTCCACAAAGGGTCAGTTCGGCGGCCCTGGGCCTTCAGAGGCTGCTCGGAACCTTCCCTTGGAGTCCAGCAAGTCACCAGCAGAGCCGAGTAAGTCAGTGCCCTCCCTGGAGGGCTCCGCAGGCTTCCAGCCAAGGACTCCTAAGCCAGGATCCAGTTCAGAATCAGGGAAGGAGAGGAGAACCACCTCCAAAGAAATTTCTGTCATCCAGCACACCAGCTCCTTTGAGAAATCTGACTCTCTGGAGCAGCCTGGCGGTTTGGAAGGGGAAGACAAGTCTGCGGCCCCCTTCTCATCACCCCCACCCGCCCCACACGGACGCTCGGCCCACTCCCTGCAGCCCAGGTTGGTCCGCCAGCCCAACATTCAGGTTCCCGAAATCCTGGTGACCGAGGAGCCTGACCGGCCAGACACGGAGCCGGAGCCGCCCCCGAAGGAGCCGGAGAAGACAGAGGAGTTCCAGTGGCCCCAGCGCAGCCAGACGCTTGCCCAGCTCCCAGCTGAGAAGCTGCCACCCAAGAAGAAGAGACTGCGCCTGGCAGAGATGGCCCAGTCATCGGGGGAGTCCAGTTTTGAGTCCTCCGTGCCTCTGTCTCGCAGCCCGAGCCAGGAGAGCAGTGTCTCACTGAGCGGGTCCAGCCGCTCTGCCTCCTTCGAGAGAGATGACCATGGAAAAGCTGAAGCTGCCGGGCCCTCGTCAGACACACGCTCTAAACCCTTGGGCACCCACATGCTGACCGTCCCCAGCCACCACCCGCATGCCCGTGAGATGCGGAGGTCAGCCTCAGAACAAAGCCCCAACGTCTCCCACTCCACCCATATGACCGAGACACGCAGCAAATCCTTCGACTACGGCAGCTTGTCCTTGACAGGCCCTTCGGCACCAACTCCAGCAGCTCCAGTGGCCTCGGCAGCCCCACCAGAGAGAAGAAAATGCTTTTTGGTGAGACAGGCTTCTCTGAGCAGGCCTCCTGAAACTGAGCCAGAGGCCACCCCCAAGGGAAGACAGGAGAGTGAGGAAGTGAAACCCTCATCCAGTAAATCTTTGGCCAAAGGCGCATTGCCCCCAGTTTCCTCTGCGGCCACCTCGCACAGCGGGCACCCGGGAGGCAAGAGCCAGGTGCAGGAGAGACCAGCGCTGGGGGCCACTCCGCCCTACACAGAAGCACTGCAGGTGTTCCCCCACCCCATTGCTCAGCTCCCGTTGCAGGAGAAACCCTACCTGCCCCCGCCTGTCTCCCTTTTCTCCTTCCAGCACCTCCTACAGCATGAGCCAGGACAGTCTTCAGAGTTCTTCCCCACCCAGGCCATGTCCAGCCTGCTCTCCACACCATACTCCATGCCCCCCCTTCCTCCCTCCTTATTTCAAGCCCCCCCACTTCCTATCCAACCTACTGTTCTACACCCAGGCCAACTCCACGTCCCCCAGCTCATGCCTCACCCAGCCAACATCCCATTCCGACAACCCCCTTCATTTCTCCCCATGCCTCACCCTGCCTCCTCAGCACTTTCTTCTGGGTTTTTCCTGCCTCTGCAATCCCAGTTCACCCTTCAGCTTCCCGGTGAAGTGGAAAGCCACGTGCCCCAGATCAAAACTAGCCTGGCCACACTGGCAACAGGAACCCCTGGCCTCTCCCCTAGCACAGAGTACAGCAGTGACATCCAGCTGCCCACTGTGGCTCCCCCGTCCAGCTGCTCAGCACCCACATCAGCTCCTCCGCTGGCCCTGCCTGCCTGTCCAGACACCATGGTGTCTCTAGTTGTGCCCGTCCGCATCCAGACCAACATGCCGTCGTATGGGAGTGCCATGTACACCACTCTCTCCCAGATCCTGGTTACCCAGTCCCAAGGCAGCTCAGCAACTGTGGCTCTTCCCAAGTTCGAGGAGCCGTCATGCAAGGGGACGTCTGTGTGTGGGGCAGATGTGTACAAGGTCGGGCCCAGACTGGCTGGAGTAAGTGAAGAGCAGAGCAGAGGTTTCCCGACTCCATTCCTGAGAGTGCCTGTGACATTACCTGAAAGAAAAGGCACTTCCCTGGCATCAGAAAGTGTCTTGAGCCTGGAGGGGAGTTCATCAACAGTGGGAGGAAGCAAACGTGTCCTTTCACCAGCTGGCAGCCTTGAACTTACCATGGAAACCCAGCAGCAAAAAAGAGTGAAGGAAGAGGAGGCTTCTAAGGCAGATGAAAAATTTGAACTTGTGAAACCATGTAGCGTGGTGCTTAGCAGCACCGAGGATAGCAAGAGATCAGAGAAGTCCCACTTGGGCAGCCAGGGCCAGGGCAGGAGGGAACTAGAAACACTCCCCAGCCTGTCCTCAGATCCATCTGACCCAAAGGAAATTCCTCCCCTTTCTCAGCCCTCATTGCCCCATGTGACAGCCTCAGGCTCAGAGGCTTTGAAGGAATATGCCCAACCATCTGGTAAACCTCACCGAAGAGGATTACTCCCATCAAGTGTGAAGAAAGAAGATTCCAAGGAACAAGCTGACCTCCCTCCACTGGCACCTCCCAGCTCACAACCTCTGTCAGAAACACCCCCCAGACCAGCCAAGTTGCAAGAAGGTACGGACTCAAAGAAGGTACTGCAGTTCCCCAGCCTCCACACAACCACTAATGTCAGTTGGTGCTATTTAAACTACATTAAGCCAAATCACATCCAGCATGCAGATAGGAGGTCCTCTGTTTACGCTGGTTGGTGCATAAGTTTGTACAACCCCAACCTTCCAGGGGTTTCCACTAAAGCTGCTTTGTCCCTCCTGAGGTCTAAGCAGAAGGTGAGCAAAGAGACATACACCATGGCCACAGCTCCACATCCTGAGACAGGAAGGCTTGTGCCATCCAGCTCCCGCAAGCCCCGCATGACAGAGGTGAGTTCAGTCTTGTTTTTCCTCTACTCACTGATTATAAAAGCCTTTGCTGAGCTTTTAAAGCCACATTCTCCTCAAGGTCCATTTACAAAATGAGAGCCAGCTGAGTGGGCAGATTTCCTCTCTATCAGCTGTGACTGGCCACCTTATTTATTGGATTTCTTTGTCAGTGTCCCTCATATCACTGGACTAGATGCATTTCAATAAAGTGAACTTTAAAGTGACCCACTTTCCCATTAGCTTCTATTGAAATATCAAAGAAACAATCTCATCCAAAAGACTGAGTTGGAAAACCTTGCTGATGGGAATGCCTGCCACAGTTTGAGAATTTTATGCCACTCCAACATATATTTCTTCCTTATAGTGTTAGTCTTTTCCTGCTTTTCTTATTCTCCACATCTACTATTTCTGTTCTCTGGTGCCACTTGAGATTTTCTCAGAGAGTCTAGAGTTTGACAAAAAAGACTCCTGAAATATTCTTTTTTTCTTTTATGTGAGTAGAAGAGCAAATAGAGCTTAACTGTAGTATCCCTCTTTACCAGTAGGTGACAGTTCCACAGCTTGACTCATCTATGCTGGTAGTAGTGCACAACACTGGCTATGCTCATGTTTTCTCCTCCATTGCCTCTGACTTGAGGCTGCATTATGAGGCATAAAATCTTGATCTCTGTTAAGTTCAGGGAAATTGATATTTGATAATTCCAAGTTTGCTTCAGACTGGTGACACCTCCCTATCCTGGTGTCACCTTGTCAGGTGACAAGGCCAGCATAAGGATTCAGGCCATGATGTGCTATGCTGACTTGATATTTGTGGAATAACAGTTGGTCTTATTGGTTGAGTAGCCTCACTGTGCCAGGCATTGTTCTGGGCACTTGAATCCAGTTGATGTTCATCACCGCCTGTGACGTAGCAATACCATTTCCATTCTGTAGATGAGGGAACTGAGAGTCAGAAGGTGAGAGAGGTCCAGGGCACATGGCAAGTATTTGGCAGACTCAGAATTTGAACCCAGATGTGTCTGACTCCAGAGAGTCTATTTTCTTCTTTCAATTATTCGAGGAAAGAAGACTGTAAAAGTGACTACAAATTTAAAGATCTTTGTTAGTAAGTCTTTAGAACAGATCCTTTGACCAAATAAATCCCCCTAAACTAAATCCTGATTGTAGATAAATGAACAAACTATGTTCATTAACTTCTATATTTGCATCCTTCTCTTTTATTGAGTGATGCTTGTGCATTGACTTTCTCCTTAGCTCGCCTAGATATTCTTCACCAAACTGTTTCCCAAATTTATTCTCTAAATATCCTTGTCAGTCTACAGACATCCTTAAATGAGGTTTCCACTTTTGCTATAAACATCATGACTAATCAGTCTCCTGTGTCTCTTACTGGCTGTGGCTACTCCCAAGATGCTGTGGTAATTATATTCATACTTAGAACTTATTGTGCACCTACTATGTACCAAGTACTATGCCCAACATGACTTTTTTTCTCACAACCACACTGATAGGGTTCTGTATCATTATTTGATGGATAAAGAGACCAAAGCATAAAGAAGTAAGGTAACTTGCACAAGATCCCGAACATAGTAAATGGCCTGGATTCAAAACTAGATCTCACTCTAAAGTTCTTTTGGATGATCTGAACTGCTCCTCTATTTTAATGACTGAACACTGAAAGGTGGTGTAAGAAAAACAAAGAATTAATTTGGCTTAACTGGGTTTGACAACCATTTGTTTAAAATGCTGCTTTCCTAAAATGCAACCTTTTCCTGGAATGTATCATTTGGTTCACTTGGATCAGCTGGTAAAGAATCTGCCTGCAATGCAGGAGACCTGGGTTTGATCCCTGGGTTGGCCCCTGGAAAAGGGCATGGCAGCCTACTCCAGTATTCTGGCCTGGAGAATTACATAGACTGTATAGTCCATGGGGTCACAAAGAGTCAGACATGACTGAAGGCTTTCACTTAAACACTTAAACTTAGCATGTTTCCTACCAGAAGCTCCCCAGTCTGGTACATTACTGTAACTGCATAGCTCACTGCTTGATGCCTTTGTACAATCATCCCTCTCTCTGATCTCTGTTTGCATATCTCCAGTAATGGGGTGCTCACCACCCCTTAGTACAACCCAACCCATCTTTGGATAGTGCTTTAAGAAAGTTCCCTATTATACTAACCTGACATTTGTCATCCCATAGCTTCCATTCACTGTTAGTAGCTCTGGAAAAGCCCTTTGGGCAATATCAGCATTTCAAAGCTCTTCCTAACCATCTTTATGCAGGTCTAGGCCACCCAATCAGGTTTGAGTTTGGTCACATACATTTTTTTTTCATGTTTAAGTCATGGAAAATCCCAGGCTTATACAAGAGTTCACATTGCAGCCACATTTCATTCCCCAAGTTTCTCCTTCCTTTTTTCTCCTTGGAGATAATTTTTACAACTTCATGCACTGTTGCAACTTAATATAGACTTAGAACTAAGTCTATAGTTCTATAGACTTAGAACAAGGGCTTCAGTGCCAGATTGCCCAAATTTGAGTTCCCCAATCCAACCAGTCCATCCTAAAGGAGATCAGTCCTGGGTGTTCATTGGAAGGACTGACGCTGAAGCTGAAACTCCAATACTTCGGCCACCTCATGCGAAGAGTTGACTCATTGGAAAAGACCCTGATGCTGGGAGGGATTGGGGACAGGAGGAGAAGGGGATGGCAGAGGATGAGATGGCTGGCTGGCATAACCAACTCGATGGACATGAGTTTGAGTAAACTCCAGGAGTTGGTGATGGACAGGGAGGCCTGGCGTGCTGCGATTCATGGGGTCGCAAAAAGTCGGACACAACTGAGCGACTGAACTGAACTGAACTGAACTGATCTCACTTACTAATTGACTTTGGGTCAGTTACTTAGCCTCTCTGTGCCTTGCTTTCCTCATCAGTAAGACAGAGATAATAAGCTATAAGATAGAAAATACTTAGCTCATAGGAATGCAGAGATAATTAAATGAGTTAAAATATGCAAGGTGTGTTTAGAACAGTGGTTGGCACGTTGGCACTTGATAATCACTATCTGTAGTTACTCACATTATTATCTTTAAAACTTAAAGTGGACCCCTGGTCCCCTGCTCAATTCCAACTACGTTTCCTGGTAGTGTCTGATGCCACCAACACCAGCCTCCTCCAGCTTGGCTCTGACATCACAGCTGGTTGTAAGACAGAAGGCATCCATCAACCTGAGGGAGGCCTCTTGGTCATTCCATGGATGGCCCAGATGGCAGGCTGAGATCGAAGTTAAAACAGCATGCTCTGAAAACCCATGAATATTGCATAAAATCAGATATCTTCTGCCAAAGCGGCAGACCATACCCTCACTTGGTTTCCACTCCCCATCTCCAATTCTGAAGAGATTGTTAGGAGTCACTGAATCATTGAAATTGACCCTGGAATGAATCTCTAAGGTGGTCTAATCTTGACTCTGAGCCTCAGAGAGGTGAAGTAGTTCACCTAAGGTTGGCTCAGCATACAGTGGCCTACATGATGCTAGAACTCAGATTCCTTGATTTCCAATCAGCTACTTTTCTGTTCAGCCTCCTGTAGGATCAGGTGTGGTGGCTGAAGCAGGGACTTCAGTCCTTAGGTTGTCCCAGCACCAGGAGACACAGTTGCTGCTCCTACTGGCTATAAACAGGGCATTTCCTCCTGACCTTAATGAAATGGCATGAAGTAGGATGAGAATATCACTACCGGCCCCAGCCTCCAGCCCCCAGCCCAGCATCACTGCTCCCTATTAAAGGTGCACCCACCCCTGCCACCATCAGAGGATCTAGGGGACAGGTTATCCAGCCAGCTCTTAACACCAAGGCCTATAGCGCATGGGGAGAATGGGTTTCCTAAAATGCTCACCCCCCCCAGACACATGCCCATCAGTGGGCAGCACAGCCTCTCTGTATCCAACTCTGGCAACAGTGTGGGGTGGAGTCAGGACCTTCAGGAGACCTGCTTTCTGCTCCTAGAAATGCCCTTGACTTGCTGTGTGGCCTTGACATTCTGATGTATAAAGGAGAATTGGGTCAGTTAATCTTCAAAGGTGAAGTCTTCATTTCTGTATGCAGCATTCCTCACATGCCTTCTCTCAGGTTGGCATGACCCGGGAGACCAAGGTGAGGACCTGTACCCAGAAGCCCCTAGACTAGTGTGAAAAAAGAGAGGAAACACAGCTCTCATGGGAAGGCCTGGTCTTCTCCTGAGAAAGGCCTGGGAGAGTCCCGGTTCTGACTTCACCTCTGGGGATTCGTTTCCCTTCTTATGTAAAGTGGGGCTAGTAGCACCTCGTCACCGGGTAGGGGGAGGATGAAGTGAGCCACTGTGAAGCGTGGGCATCATTCCATGACGACGTGTTAACCAGCTGTGATTTTGTCATTCCCGTGGTGGGCCAGGTTCGCCTCCCTTCGCTGGTTTCCCCGGAAGGACAGAAAGAGATAGCTAGAGTGGAGAAAGAAGAGGAGAAGAGAGGGAAGCCGGAGGAGGACGCTCCCGCCTCCAAGAGAGGGGAGCCGGCGAGGATCAAAATCTTCGAAGGAGGGTAAGAATTATGTTTGGTTTGCAGTGTCTGCTCTCCATGCAGTAAGCGCTCGTGCCTGCGTTCAGAACGGTGGTCTGTGTTCAGAGGTGGTGAGCATCTCATAGGGCAAGGCTGTGCCCACAGGAGCCCTGGGCTTCCCGCCTTCCAGGAAGTGCCATCTTTGTGGGACTTGCTGTCCACCTCTGTTGAGGAACATTGGCTCCTTGGTGGGGGGTGGGGGACATCAGGTGTATGCTGGGGACTGGAGCTGCCTGGGTTTTCCCCCAGCCCCTCTTGCCTCAGATACTGGCTGGGTTCCTAGACCCCACATTGGGGTTGATAGTGACCCTCCCGGGTCCTATGCGGACTGCCGTCTACCTTGGTGCATGTTCTGCAGAAGTCACCTCTGTCCTGCCTAAGCAGCCACGGCGACAGGTCTGGTGTCCCATGGGCTCTGCCAGCTGGGCTGTTTACAGGGTTGATTGTGCACTGCACTCATCGGTCTCTGGGTCTCTTCTCAGACTGGCCAGGTCCAGGGCTCACCACTTGGTAAACATTTAGAGTAACACTCCTGGTTTTTCACCTTTGGTGCTTTGTGTTTGTAAACCTAATGACTGAAATGTCTCAGAACTCTCAGCTGTGGGGCTCTCAGGGCTCCCAGCAGGGTGCCTGCTTCCAGGCCTGCTCTGTGGACGTGTCGTGCAAGCTGTGTTCTATGTGACCACGTGTGTGCTCCCTGGGCTGTGGGCGTCTGTATGCAGGTCCCGTGGTGTCTGTCTCAGGGTCCTTTGTCTGTGTCCCCCGTGTAACCAATGAAGTCCTCTTCCTACCCAGTCCTGAGGGATAACGGCATGGAGGAAAACCTGCCTCCCAGGGAGGAGGGTCCCCAGGAACCCATGTCCTCAGGAACATGGAATGTCACTGGGGCCTACAGTCCTCCAGCACTTGCAGGTGCCCAACTCACAAGGTCAAAGTGGGAGGTGCCGGGTTCCTCTGGAGCACTGGGAGAGGAGACAGTGCCCAGCTCCCGAGGTCACCGGAGGGCATCCTTTGGTACTGACCTGCAGGGTCTCCCAGGAGAAGGGGTGTTTGAAAACTGAACTTGGGGACTTGTGTTGTCACAGCAATAGGGAGGGGAGTCAGGGATGGCAAGCGTCCTGCAGTGGCAAGGACATGTCCCCAGAGGGGAGAAATATCTTGTCCAGAGTTCCCGTAACTGCTCCATTGAGAAACACTAGACCAGCGGGTTTTCAAAACTGTCTTTCCACCTGGGGACTGGCAGGTTTCCTCTTCTGCTACTTGGTTAGAGCGCCCCCGTGTGTCTCTGTGTTCACACATCATCAGATCCTCCAAAGGCCACATAAGACTTCACCCCAGGATTGGTGGATCAGTCACAGCCTTCTCCCTGCAACTTCAAGGACCATCTGTGGGGTCCCAAGGGCGGCTGAATGTCAGCTGGTGTGAACAAAGGGGTTTTCTTCTGCCGTGAGAGGCAACAGTCCCCAGACTGGAAATCTGGCTCCCCGAGGCAGCTCCCTGCTGCCCTTGTTCCCCCGGCAGCCTGCACCCCGAAAAGGCAGCTGGCAGGAGCTTCTCCCCAGCTCAGTTAGCTCACAGCTCCAGTGGCCTCCCAGAGTCTCTGCCACACGGTCTACCTTCAGCTGAGAGGTGAAGGCCACGTCTGAGTCCTCTTCTGCTCTTCCTGCGGTCTGGCCAGGGGTCCCCACTCTAACCCGCCCCCACCATTCCATCCAGGTCATCAGTTAGTCCTGTCTGCTCTGTTCAGAATCCCCCTGTCTTGCCAGGTCCAGCATCCCTGCTCCAGAGTGGCTCTCCCACTAACCAGTTCCACTGGGACAGTCCCCTCACCTCTCTAGCTCTGCCTCCCATCTGCAAAACGGGATAATTACATACTTTGTGGGTTGCTGGGGGATCCTGTGCTGCCCTGTGTAAAGACCAGCACAGTTCATGGTGCTCACAAATGGGTATCGGAGTATTTTTTCATTTTTGTGTCCATCGTTTTGATCCCCTCCAGGATAATCTCACCCTGTCGACTGTGAAGAACATCACCCGCGCTCTCTCCACTTGTCACATCTAATTTCAGCACTTTGGTAGGGGGAATGGGGTTATGTAATGCCACCAGTCTGGTCACCTTCTCCCACAGCCCCACTGTCCCATCTGGGCCCCCACTGTACCTCCCACCCTCGCTTCTGGTGACCCCTCAATATTTACGGTTCTTTGGGGGCTGGTGTCACCTCCAGGAGAGTTTGCAAATGTGGACTTGAAAGTGTGGGGTTGTCACAGAACTTATGAGTGCTCCATACCAGAAGATAACCAGAGCCAAGAGGGTCAATTGTGATCCTGCCTTCAAGGAGGCTGGCTCAGGGGTAGCAGAAGGCCTGGTGCCGAGGTGTGGACCGTCAGTGTTCAGGTGCTCAGAGCAGGCAGGGACCCTTGGGCCCAGAACCAGAGAGGGCTTCCTGGAGGAGGTAGGCTAGGCCTAGAGGGTGTGAGACCGGGACAGGCAGAGAGGAAAGGTGAGTCAGTCGGCAGTCTGGGTGTCCTAGTGACTCATGCTCCTGGTTAGTCGGACTAGTTTCCTGTGGCCTTGAGTGGTCTCCCTGGCCAGTGTTGTCCGCCTCCTTGGCTAAACTTCGTCCCTGCACCAAGGGCACAAAATCTGAATCTCCAGCTAGGACCTTACTCCTGAACTGTAGACCATTGCTTCTGATGCCTCATGGGCACCTCTGCCTGCAAGACTAGGGCACCTCAAACTCAGTATGTGCTGACCAAGCCCTACAGTTACCACCAACGGCATCTCCTTCCACCTTGGGAACCAGATCCTTAGGCCCGAAACAGCTCTGTCTCACCTCCATTAGTAAATCCTGTCAACTCACCCTGTGAAACCGTATCCAGAACCTGCCCATTTCTCCCACATCTCAGCTCAGACCACTGCTGAGTTTCATCTGGATCATCACAGTCTCCTGCTAGAATCTCCCTTCCATTCTCACCCACTATCATGTGTTCTTAACCCAGCAGCCAGAGCGATCCCGTTTAACATCAAGACCCTGCCACTCCCACTCTGCACCCTCCACAGCCCTCCAGTAGCCTGTGTGTGCTAGCCCCAGGTCCTCCCTGACCTCTGCCTGCCCCTCAGCTCTCCTTTTTCTTTTAAATAGGTCTTTAAAATGTTTTTTTATTTATGTATTTATGGACTGAGCTTGGTCTTCACATGAGCTTTCACTAGTTATAGCAAGCAGGGGCTACTCCTAGTTGCAGTACATAGGCTTCTCACTGTGGTGGCCTCTCTTGTTACGGCTCACGGGCTCTAGAGTGCAGGTTCAGTAGTTGTGGTGAACAGGCTGAGTTGCCTCAGAGCATGTGGAATCTTCCCAGACCAGGGACTGAACCTGTGTCCCCTGCATTGACAGGTTCCTACCCCTTGCTTCCTGTGCTCCAGCCAAGGATCTCTTTGTCTGACATGCTGCTACCTTAGGGCCTTTGCACTGGCTGCACCCTCTGCCTTGAACACTTTTTTCAGAGTCCCACAGCTCGCTCACTTCCTTCAGTCACCCTTCAGAGAAGCCTTACCAGATCATCTTCCCCTGTGTACCCTCCTCTAGCATTTCTTATCCAGCTTCCCTTCCCTGCTTTATTTTTCCCCAGTCACTAGTTTCTTCTGTCTCCCCCTCCAGAACATAACACCCTGTGAGAGGACAGGAATTGTGCTTTATTCATTGCTGTATCCCCAGTGCTGAAAATGGTGACTGGCATGAGGGCAGCGCTGGTGAATGTTTATTAACTAAAGGAATCTCCCTTTACCTGAGACCTCAGGTGAGGGGCTGTGTCCCTGAAGTCAGCAGCTCTTAGAATCCATGAGCAGTGGAGGCTCTGGGTCTCAGGAAGGAGGAAAGACAGAGTCAGGGCCAACCCACCAACCTGAAGTCAGACTTGGCCTGGGAAGGTGAAGTCAGGTGGTTTCGGCTATGGGGCAAGTACCTGGGGCTGGGAGCCAAGGTTGTCTGCTTGCTGTCCTGCCCTGCAGGTGTTACAGGTAAAAATGAAACAGGATTCCAAAAAGGGCTGGCTCATGGGTTACCAGCTCTTTGGCCAGTGCCTGCTCTGAGTAGATCCCTTGTGTCCTGGGGGCCAGAGAGGAGTGGTCCTGGGCACCCAACTCTGGAGACAGGCTGCTGTCCTTCCTGGGTGAGTCTAGGCTATCAGGACCACGTCTTCTTTCTGACTCAGTGCCTTGATCTCTCTTGAATTCTCAGGCTTCTCCCTGGAGTGTAGATATGCAGCTTTGAGTGTGGCCCCTGTGGGCCAGGAGCAAGTTGTCCAGCTCCTATCACATGTGCCCACACTGGGTTTTGTTCTCTTTCTATTTCTCCCAAACCCTGTTGTTCCATCTCTCCTAGGGAATATGACCTGGGCTTTTGTGGATGCAGAGGAGGGTGGGATATTGCAAAGTACAGGTGTGACATTCAATGGCCCAGACCAGGGAGATGGCGGTGGATATGGGGGTGGAGCTAGAGGATATCTGGTGAATTGAATACAAAGGGTGAAGATGAGAAGCTTGGAATGGAGAAAGACTGCCACGTTTCTGGCTCAAGGATATTTGAAGCTGCCATTTACGGAGATGGCCAGGGGTGGAAAGGAGACTAAGAATGAGGTTTGGGGAAGGAGAGACCAAAGCTTGGTGGACAGTGTTCACTTTGAGATGGCAGTCAGACATCCAAGTGTTCAGGAAGTCATGTGGCAATTGGATATCTGAACCTGGCCTTCAGAAGACAGGAAAGATACATTTGAGATATGCATAGATATATGTAGATATGCACATTTTTCAGTGCATAGATGCTATTTAGGATGATGTGACCAGATCGCAGTTCTCTTGGGGAGATGGAGAGAAAAGAATAAGGCATCCAGGACGGAGCCAGGATATGCCAGAGGACAGGTAGAGCTGAAGCTCAAGAGTCTGAGAAGGAAAAGCCAAAAGAATAGAAGAGACCCGGCAGAGTGAG